GATTCGGGTGATTTAGGTGGATTAGACTTTGAAAATCCTTTCAAACCTGGTTTAGTATTTATAATATTGTGAGCTGCAGCCCTTCCACGAATAGGTGCTACCCTTGACCAACTTGTTCCATCCTTTCCACGCCAAGACGTAAAATTAATTAGGGGTTTATCATCGTCAGAATTATCATCGTCATCATCATTACCAGAATTCTCACTTAGCGAATCATGTTCACTAAATAGTTCACAATCTTCTTCTGAATCGCTTTGATCTCCATCTTCTAAAATTTGTCGTAGAGCGTCTTGTTCATCTTCAGCTGTTTCCATATGCGTACTGGCTCCAACTTCATCATTCTGCGACTCCATCGATTCATTATTTTCTTCCAGGTCCTGCCAAAAATCATCATTTTCTACAATATCTAACAGTTGCGCGTCTGTGTAGAATTTAGAAGCCATTTTTATGTATATCTGGATACAAAAACTAAATAAATACTTGTTTGAAATAATTTATATGTAAAAAAACTTACCAAAACAATTAATTCCTAACCTGCTGAAACGTAAATAATTATAACACAACAGCTACCGATGGGTCACATTGACCCATTTTCGTAAATTTGGCCACAACGGAACTACACTCTACCGTAGTTGGTGTGTTACTGAAAGTAGACGCGCAAGCTAGTAAAAGTCGTGAAATCTCGCCGCCATAAGCGCAAAATTGGAGGGGGAAATTCAGTTTAAATTTGACTGTGGGTCAATCTGACCCTGTCAGTAGTAGTTAAGGGTTAAACTCTATAGAAAAATTTATCATAAAACTATAAAAGCCGCCAAAGACACCTATTATAACAACCGGTTCGATAGAACTGAAAATATTGCCAAAGAAACGTGGTCTATTGTCAACGACTTGCGAAATAAGGCTATCTCTTCCAGTATAACCTCTACCTCCCCTGAGAACCTGTAGAAACACTAGAGCTTTTCAGCACAATTAAAGACATAAAAAACAAAGTGTCATCTGGGACTGATGGACTAACTTTAAAAATGTTCTTCAATTTACCGGAGTGTACATTAAATCGCCTCACTGCTTTAATAAATAAATCTTTTCAACAAGGAGTGTTCCCAGATTGCCTCAAAACGGCTATAATTATTCCTCTGCACAAGGGACCAAGAGTCGAACTATCGTCCAATTGCACTTCTTCCTACTTTATCCAAAATCATTGAAAGATTGGTTAAGAAAAGGCTTGTATCATTTCTGCATAAATATAATATACTAACTATCCACCAATTTGGATTTTTAACCAACAAATGCACTATTGATGCTATGTTCTCTGTCTTCAATAATGTCTTCTCTAGCTTGAACAATTTGCACTCCACAGCATCAATTTTCTGTGATTTTTCTCAAGCATTCGACTGCGTAAGTCATAATATCCTAATTAACAAATTGCAGCATTATGGAATTCGAGGCTCTCCTCTGGAATGGTTCAAGTCGTATCTTAACAACAGAAAACAGCTTGTGAGGGTTGATACGACGATGTCTTCATGCAAGCCAATAGAATGTGGAGTTCCACAGGGTTCTGTGTTAGGTCCAATATTATTATTGCTGTTTATCAACGATATTGCTAGTCTAGACATCAGCGGTAAAATCTGTCTTTTTGCTGATGATACTAGTTTCACTTGGAGCAACCCGGATATTGTAGCTCTTCATAGAACCATGTCCATCGACTTGTTGGCCATTAAAACATGGTGCGACTCTAACTTCCTCTGCTTCAACGCTGCGAAAACAAAAGTTCTATCATATAGAAGTACGATGCAACCTTTTGTACTTAATAACACTACTACTATTGACGTCGTTGATTCCGTAAAGTTTTTGGGCCTTATTATAGACAAATCCCTAAAATGGAATTCGCACATCGATTCTTTATCAAAAAAATTAAGTTCCGCTTGCTTTGCGATAAGATCAGTTTCCAAGGAACTCAACTTGTCAACTTTTAGAAGTCTACTTTGCCCTTTTCAAATCACATCTTCGATACGCCCTTCCATTCTGGGGTTCGTGCTGTGCGACTCAATTTGACCGTATTTTTAAATTACAAAAGAGAGCTATTAGATATTCCCTAAAATTAAAAAATAGAGCTCATTGCCAAGATTTTTTCAAAAAATATAAAATATTAACATTTCCTTCCCTTTTCATACTAGAATCAGTCTGCCTTATCCGCAAACACCTACCCAGTATTTCAGAAAGGCCATTGCATAACTATCCACTTAGAAACGCGGAGCATGATCTTTATCTGCCAAATCCATCCTCCGAGTTAATTAAGAGCTCCATTCTATACAACGCAAAAAAAATGCACAATCATCTGCCAGTAGTCATCAAGTCCATAGCATCTCTTCCTAAATTTCGCATGGCTCTAAAATCCTATTTATCAGAGAGAGCCTTATATAAAGTAAATTACTTTTTTCTGACTTAATTTTGAGCGTTCCACACACTGGATCATAGTTTATAGGTAATTTGTTCATTTTTATATTTGTTCATGTTATATTTGTTTATGTTTATATCATTTTATTTTGACTTTGTATACATGTAGATGTATATAATATATATTTTTAACTTTAAGGCTTTGTCTACAAATTATGTTATAATTTTTTTGACAATAAAGCATTATTATTATTATTATTACGATGAATTTTGGATGGTTACGAAAAATTAAGGAAATTACGAAAAAGTTATGGGAACTACGAGTTTTGCGAAAATTGCAAAAACTAAGGAAAAATTATAAAAATAACGAAATTTATTTGAGAAATAACGGCTTTCAACAATTTTTTTTCGCAATTTAACCTTCACTTTTCCGTAATCTCAAAGTCCAAACTCACTTTTTCGCAATTTCAGCAAATTTTACCGCGAATTTTGCCTCACTTTTCCGTTATTCTTGCCTCATTTTTCAATTAATATAACCTCACTTTTCCGCGATTTTCGCCTCACATTTCCGCAATTTCAACTTAATTTTTCCATAATCTTTACTTTTGTTTTTCGTATTTATAATTTCATTTTTTCTCGATTATAACCTTGCTTTTCCGCCATTTTTACTCAACTTTTTCGCAATTCCAACATTTCCAACCTCATTTTTCTGTAATTTTTACTTTTATTTTTCGTAATTCCAACGTCACTTTCCTGCGATTTTGATACTCACTTTTTCACAATTTTTGAAAAGTTACGCAAATTACGGAAAATTGCAGGAATTACGAAAAATTACTGGAATTATAAAAATAAAGAGAATCACGGAAATTACAAAAATTATAGGAATTACGAAAATCACGAATTTTTGAAATTATGAAAATTACAAAACTTGGGGGAATTCAAAAATAACGAAGTTTTTTAAAAAATTAGGAGAATTAAAAATAGGTATAAAAAATTACGGGAATTACGAAAAAATTATGATTTTTGAAGTTATGGGAAAATTACGAAAAAGTTACGGCGGAATTACGAAAATTGAGTTTTTCGAAAATGCAAAAACTAAGGGAAAATTGATTTTTTTAAGCATTTTCTTACATTTTATTTTTTTTCTAGAAAACTGGCAAAAAGATAATTGTGGAAATTTTCCAGAAAAAAGAGGAAAATGAGGATCTCATTCAAGCAAAATTTCAAAATTTTCCAGTTAAAAATCACTTCAGAAAAAATTCTGGAAAATTGACTTATTTAAGCAAAATTAAGGAAAATTCATCCTCTCAAATTTCAATTTATTTCTGGAAAACTAATAAAACAAAACTTGTGAAATTTTTCCAGGAGAAAGAAGAAAATGAGGAGCTTATTATAGGAAAATTTCAAAATTTTCTAGTGAAAAATTACTCTAAGGAAAATTCTAAAAAATTGACTTTTTTAAGCAAAATTCATAATTTCACATTTCAATTTTTTTCTGGAAAATTAGCAAAGCAAAAATTGTGAAATTTTTCCAAAAGAAAAAGGAAGCTGAAATTTTCCAATAAAAAATTCTGGAAAATTGACTTTTTCAAGTAAAATGAATTTTTTTTTATCCTTTTACATTTAAATTTTTTTCTAAAAACTGGTAAAGGAAAAATTTCGAAAATTTTCCAGGAAAAAGAAGAAAGTGAGGAGCTCATTATATAAAAATTTCAAAATTTTCCAGTGAAAAATCACTCCAGGAGAAGTTCTGGAAAACTGACTTTTAAGCAAAATTCATTCTTTTAATTTTAATTTTTTTCTAGAAAACTGGCAGAAAGAAAATTTCAAAATTCTCCAGTGGAAAATCACTACAGGAAAAATTCTGAAAAATTGACTTTTTCAAGTAAAATTAAGAAAAATTGCGCTTATGGATTGTACAGAGTTGTTTGATTCATAATGAGATGTTGACCAAATTTCTTTAGTGATGGTATAGATTTTGTTGATCCAGCATCCAGCAGTTCTATAAAGAAATCTTCCTTCTATCATGTACTGAATCTGTAGTACAATTTACAGGAAATATTTGCCCTACTTTTAATGCATCTGCTAGACTATATGAAAAATTTATAAGATATACCTTCGTCCTTTATTGATTATTAAAATCCTATTCGATGACATCTGGCTTATAGAAAACCAAGTCACGATACATGTGACATTTTTCAATTGTATTATAAATCTAATATACTCCTGAGTAGGTTTTTCATTCTTTATCGAACTTTTCTGTTCGAATTAATCCATAATATATATATATATGTGAAAGATCTCAAAGAAAAGAGTCCCCCTCTACTTAAATATATATCTTATAGAAAAATGTCTACATTTCCAGGGGTGTACAAAAGGCATCAGCCCTTAATACCCCGGCACAAACCGCCGTAACCTAATTCCAAATCTCTTCGCAGAGAGATTGAGAGTAAAAATGAAGAGGATAAAATATCTTTGACGCCGACAAATTGGGGAACTTGTTGAATAGAGGAAGTGCACTGAAATGTTTCACTTTACTCCGGGTGTATTTTTGCTTCTCTATCCGGAAGAGGGGACCTATGAAATTTAATTATCTTGGCTAATAATATTATGTTACTTCAAATAATAAATAAACATTTAATTTTAACAAGATAACTTTAAACATTTGATAATAAGAAACAATTAACTTCAAATTTAACAACAAGATTATTTTTTATCGCCTGAAATCGATAAATTATCGAAAAGGGACAGACTAGAATCCATTCTGGTGGCCACCTTATCATCTTTAGCATAAATCTCAGATATGTAATGCTTGTATCTTAGTGCCTAAAAATCAAAATTGATTAAATAATATGATCACAACTACTCAAACTTACCCGAGACTCTGAAAGCACCGATGATCGTTCAATAAACGATACCAATGTACACTCCTTGGGTAAATAGCAAATAGATTTGTTCGAATTTAGACGCATACGTTTTATCCAGTACAAGACGAATTTTAGGAAAGTTGCTGATTGTCTTTGCCTATTCGAAAAGTGACACCTAAAAGCAAAAGTTAATTTGAGAAATTACATCTACTGTATTGATTTAATCAGTGGCGGCTCGTGACTATTTCAAGTGAGGAGGCTAAAAGATTTTCAGTGATTTTGAGTAGATCTTACGAGTTTTTCTGGGATTTTGACCAACTTGTATGCAAATTTACCAACTAATTTAGGGGAGCCTTAACGATAAATATTCCATGAGAATTCTGCGAAAATTTTTGTTAATTCCATAGAAATTCCTCAGAATTTCACTAGAAGATTTAATGGAAATCCTCGAAATTCCATTCAAATGACAAATTTGAATAGAAAAACAGAAAGTCCTAGAAATTTTATCATAAGATTTCATAATACTTTTCCGAATTCCACCATAAAATTTAATGGAATTCTTGTACAAAAATTACAGTAAAATATTTCATGGAAATTTCGACAGAATTTCACTAAAATTTAATTCAAGTTTTCGGAATTCCGCCGAAATTTTTCGTGGTTCCATGGAAATTCCACGAAAATTCTGTTTAATTCCGAGGGAATTTTTCGGTTTCAATATAATTTCACTGGAATTCCACAATAAGATTTCAAGATATTCCAAGTTTTTAACAAAGAATTCCTAGGTGGCTTTGCCTCTTGGAAAATACAGTCTCACACTTTCAAAGTTTTCCTGGAAAACTAATTGGGGGAAAAACCTCTCGAAGATTTCATCAAAGTTCTTTGGAATTCCATTAAAATTTTAAGTAATTCCATAGAAATAAATACCTTAACATTTCATTAGAAGATTTTATGGAATTCTTGGACAAATTTTTTTCGGAATTACAGTATAGGATTACATGAAATTCCTCGGAATTCCACTAAGATTTCAATTTCAAAATTCCATATTGTTGTGAAATTAAATATTTTGTAATGCTTTTCTTGATATCTGCTGAGAAGTTTGTTAGTTTGTATCATGTTTGTATCAATTTGTATCACTAGGGTTTCCGAAATTGTGTTTTCTAAAACAATAGACTGGACCAATGAACTATAACCAAAAACTGGAATGCTAACACATAAGGAAGAACGTGAAGCCTAGTGCAGCTGCTGCGGAGGGGATACCTGTTTTTGTCGCACGCATTATGTTAAATGGCGAAAATTGCTTCCAACACGTATTCCAATTGATGAAACCTGTGAAGGAAAAAATGACAAAACTTTCGAAAACGTCATATGTCAGCGAGCAACAGAAAAAAACAACATTCCCCCTTGTAGCATCTGTCTTTCATGGCTTCATTTTTTGGGCAGATATGGCAATGTGCGCGCATTCCAGTTTTTGGCTATAGTTCATTGGACTGGACACTAGTCTTCAGGTAGATTGTCATAGAATTGTCAATTTGTCAAAATAATTGTAATAATTATTAATAAAAGGTCCATGTTATAAAGAATGCTGAATGATTATTTGAAGAAGTAATAGTAATTATTGCTGAAATCACAACACATATATTTTTTTTAACTTTACTAAAATTCCTCAAAATTTTACCGCTGAAATATCTTGGAATTCCACAAAATTTTCATAAAATTCTATGGAATTTCATTGACATTTCATGTAATTTCTTGAAAATTTCTCGGAATTCACTAAAATTTTATGAAAATATCTATGTTCATAACATAACCGAAAATTTCTCGAAAGTCCAATGAAACTTCAAGGAATTTTCAAAATTTAATTTATTTTCATAAGAATTTATTTTAATAGCCAGGAATTTCTGGGAATATTAATGAAGTTTCAAGTAATTTCTCTAAAATTCATCGAAATATATTGAAATTTCATGGTAATTTTTCGGAATATCACCGAAATTCCATGTTTTTAGCTGGAAATTCCTCGGCAGCACTAAAATTTAGTAAAAACTGAAATTTCATGTTGGGAATTTCGGTGTAATTTCATGTAATTGTTTAAAATTCCTCCATGTAATTCATTTAGGGTTTCGTGTAATTCGATCGGAATTTCACTAAAATTTCAAGTAATTCGAGAGGAATTAAAATTTAATGTGAATTCTCTGGAAACTCCGCGAAAATTTCTCATCTAATTCCTTTTTCAGAATAACATAATTATTCTACCAAAATTCCACTAAATTATGGAATTCTGAGATTTTACCAGATATTTGGAGATTCCAAAGGATATTTGGGAATTTTAAAGGAAATATTTTTCAGAAATGTCAATGATTGGGTTTAAAATGACCTATAAATCGAGATTTGATAAAAACATATGGCAACGCTGCTCATGAAACAACAAACGTCAAAAAATTGAAATATCAAGGTAGGCCTTGGTTTTTTTGCAAGTCGATATAAAATGGCGTCTTTTTGTTTCAAAGATTACGATCCGAAGGGCCGAAGTATTAAAATCAGTTAACAATCAACGGGTTCGTATAACTCCGGCCCTTCGGTCTCGTATAACCTCGGACCTTCGGGCCAGAGGCGTCGACTTTTAAAAGGCCTCATGGGTGCAGGATAAAGCTTAATTCTCACTTGTGCGAAATTCGCCCTTTTTTGACATTGCTTTGACAATTTGACGTTTGATACACGCATAAGACGTCAAATTGTTGAAGTAATGTCAAAAAAAGAGCGAATTTCGCGCAAGTGAGAATGAGGCATAATAACTTTATAAATTGGTTTATAGAGGGAGGGGAAAGATCGCCGGCGCAGGCGCCGCTAGAGGCGGAAAATTATTTCTACGTGTGCGAAAAGTGCTTTTTTCTGCACGCATTTTAGACCCTGAAAATATCACTTTTCCGCAATAGTGTGGAAAAGTAAAATAAATATGCAATGTTAAGTCACCCTGGTACTTTCATGTCGTTAAATGGTTGTGAAGAAATAGCGTTCCTTAATCATACGGAAAGTCTCTTTTCCTCATTAAATTGCTACGCACACGCCCTAACTGACGACTGACGTTTTGTTTTATCTTAGCCGCCTCTGTCAGCTGTCACTCGCAACCAATGAACTATGCGCACGAGCAAAGGTATTGCTATAAAAGCTCCGATGTATCGAACGGAATATATCGATATTTTTTTCGATATATCAAATGTAAAATATCGATTAGAATACATAATATATCGATATATTTCAGTTATACATATTTCGATATCTACAAAACATCGATATATCAGCGCCACAAGGGCTGGCCTCTCTCTGACTTTCCGTTGTAGGCTGGACTGTCTCTATTATTATCAAAGAATAGAGATGCAGAATAGCAACTAGTAGCAAAAAGTGATACAGGACAAAATACTAATCACTTGTATAATCCTTATACAAAGTTGTGTTAATTCAAATTACATGATACTGATACTACCACATGGAATGAAATGACCATTAAACACGTTTGTACTTTCGTCTTCCCCACGAGAGTTCTCATGGGTGCTCGGCACCCATGACAGGTTGCTCATGGGTGCACCTGCCCCAATGCACCCATGTAGTCGGCGCCAGCGCTTCGGGCTCATGATTAAAATAATTCCGGCCTGTCGGGCTCGTATAACTCCGGCCCTTCGGGTTCGCATTTTTCCGGCCCTTCGGACTCGTATAACCTCGGCCCTTTGAGCTCATAATTGAGATAACCTCAGCCTTCCAAAATCGAGATTCGAAAAAAAAACATATGGCAACACTGCTCATGATACAACAAACGTCAAAAAATTGAAATTTCAAACCTTGGGTTATTTTGACAATCGATACAAAATGACGTCTTTTTGTTTCAACGATTACGGCCCAAAGGGCCGGAGCATTAAAATTAGTTAACAATGAACGGCTTCGTTCGGATAAAACTTTTGTCGTACGACGCTTTGGCAATATCGACAAATGTTACCTGTCAAATTTGACACATTTTCGACTTTTTCCCCGCTCTACTATAAAAGCTACGAAAATCAAACCCCGGTGCAAGGCAGTTCCACAACGCCAACTATCGATTTGTGTCAAAACAAAAATTGACAGCTGTCAACGTCAAAACAGTTTTTTTCTTCATTTTGCGAATTTCGAGAAAAAAAGGGGTAGAAAACGATCCCCGGACCCCAAAAACCTTAAATAAAAATTCCAAAAAAAAAACCAACGAAAATGACATTCCAAAACCTACTTGATAAAACTAAAGTTTTTCTCACTTACCCCGTTAAAACACTGGAAATTTTTGGTGGAAAATGAAGAAAACTCACCTCGTGGTGAGTGAGTGATTTAAATCAGTTTTCAGTCCTAAAAAAGCCCCGTAAAAGTGGAAATTCGAAGAAGAACTGAATAAAAATGTAAACACGTCAATTGAAAATGGCCGACTGTCAAAAATGCTTCTTTGATTGAATTTAGCCACAAGCGATGTTGCCACATCAAAAGCATTTTAAATGGGATTTTGCTAATTATGGTATTTAAAACTAGAAATTTTTACTAAAAAATGAAGAAACCTCAAAGCCTCGTATGTTAAATCGCTTTTTTCCATTAAAAAACTCCGGAAAATCGAAAATTCGGGAAAAAACTGGCAAAAAATCACAAGGCGTCACTTCAAAATGGCCAACTAAAAGCAACGTTGCCACATCTCATCTCGAGAGTTTTTTGTTTAAAATTCAATTTAATAATTAATTTTAATTAATAAATCGATGAAAATGACATTATAAGGTTTACTTATTGATTATAGTGAGTAAGACAAAGACAATGATAAAGTAGTATATTATGTTTGCAAAAACCACCGTTTTCTGAAAAAAGTAAAAATCTTAGGAAAACCAACATTCCAAAATCAATTTGATAAAACTAAAGTTTTTGAATCGGACGCTAAAAATCGCATTTTAAATACTCTCGGCTTTTAATTTTCTCTAAATTATCCGCTGACCAATAGAATTATAGACTGAGTCCCTTCGGGCTCGCATATAACTCCGGCCCTTTGGGCCGGTATTACTGAGTATCCAAGATTCACAGATTTTTGTCGTGGAGGCGCGGGATTGATTGAAATAATGTCAGATTTTTCTAAATTACATTGAAATATCGAAAATTGGAATTCTATTGTGTAATTTGTGAATCATTATTTTAATTAGAAATCAGGAATAAAAAATTGAGATTTTTTGGGGGAGGTTTAGCCTCCCCTGCCTCCTCTGACGAGCCGCCACTGGATTTAATAGAATGCCCTTTGGCCTAACTATGCACCAGCCACATTCCAGAGAGTAAAGGACAATGTATAACTAGAATCAAGTTACCTTTCGTCAATCAGCATTCCCAAAACTGGAGCATTAATAACATCACTTGACGAAACCTGGTACGACTTGAGTATTTGAAAATAACAATCGTAAGCCTCGTCGGATAAGTCCCCATTAGTCAAATCATAAAGTACGTAAAGAATTAAAGGCACGTTTTCATGTTTCAAGTTAATAGACAATTTTCCACTCAATAACTGAGTTACAAAAGCAATCGTGGCTCCAACTACTTCACTCGTACCAGTAAGTAAATGTTTCACGTCCACAACAATATTTTCCGGCAAGTAGCAAACACTTTTCTGATATTTAATTAGTGTAGTCAGAAACTTCAAAACTGCCAAATTAACCATGTCATTCTTCACTTCCAATCGGCTAATCACAGTCCTCAATAAAAACTGATTTTTGCAAAACGAATCAATCATTGTATCTTCGTTTTTTAAAACCTTCAAAACATTTACGGCGTATTTGCAAATGTTGATGAAAACTTCATTGCTGGGATTGATGTCCATCGTGTGACAAATGCTTATGAATATTTTGGCTGCAAGTGCTTTATCTTCAACGGGAATATCAACGCAACTTGCTTGAATTAAAGCAACAACTGCCTCGGAGTTGTTTCTGAATTTCGGAATCAAGTCTTGGATTTGTTTGAACAATTTCATGTTGTGAAGACTTTGAAGTATTTGGGCAATTCTAAAATGTTGTTGTATTTATTGCAAGTTTGTTCAAGCTTCAAAGACTTACCTGCCAATAGTTGCACTCTTAGTTTTCAGTGCGGTTATAAAAAGATCCAACAAGACCGATTCGGATTTTGTATCGATAATGATTTGCTTCAAAATGGGTATTTTTTTTTCGGTTACTCTGTCGATCCAAAATTTTAGGGTAATTTTTTTTATGATGTAAGGGCCTTTATACAAGAACCAGAAAAGTTGCCATTTCGATAGAGACAAAACCCTTATAAATAACGGAATACAGTTGGATGCTACTATCATTAGGTCGTTGCCGATAATGAACAGTTTACGTCCTTGTTTCGGGCCTGGAATTTATGTGTTTAGTTTGAAATTTGGTGCAGGTTATCTTTTTTACCTTTTAAAAGTATCGGATAAATGTAGCAAATCGATTTTAGGATTCTAACGTTCATGAATTTCATGTATTTTTTGTTGTAGATGAATCTGCTTATGGCTTCAGCGATTTCGGTAGTACTCCATACAAATCTAAAATAAATTACTGTATATAATATTCTGTATGAACTCCTTCTTCAAGAAACTCATTAGTGGAAGATGAACGTGGAACTTGAAGATAATAAATAAAAATGAAAGATATGTAGAATTTAATGAGAATATTTTTTATTTTAAAGATAGGTCAGTTCAAGTAGGTAGTGAAATAGAAATGAACGAGAGTCAGACTGAAAGTTTAAGAAATAGAAATAAGGAAAATATAAGACATACAGAAGGTAAACGAACTATTAAAATACCAGCTAAATATGATAATTTTGAACTTTATACCTTTCGTAGATGATGTTCCTAGAAATTTTAATGAAATAGGTACCTAATAGATCTGTAGTAAATTATTGTTAAATGCAATAGACAGAGAACTAAATTCAATTTATGAGAATGAGACATGGCAAACAGTTGACATTACTAGAAATGAAAATATAATAGGTTTTTTTCTCACAAGAATTTGGAGGAAAATAAGAGAAATAGATATAAAGCTAGATTGGTAGTTAGGGGTTTCTTACAAGATAAAAATGTAGATTATGAGAATATCTATTCTCCAGTTGCTAAGATGTCTACTATTAGACTATTAGACTATTTTTTATCAATTCGATGCGAAAACCGCTGTTAACGTAACATTATTTATAAATTTAGTTTCTTCTCATTCTTATTAAAGAATAACTTAAATGTCAATTTTGCGTAAAACACACAGGAGTGTATTTTCTACGACCCTGCGCCGACCGAGGCCGATAGCTGTTTGGATTCACACACTAGATCAATGGTACTTGATATACCCGTTGCATTTTTACCGGTTCTGCGTGTTACGCTTAAAAAGTCTATGTCTTGTGCCGTTAAAAAGGGACCTTGAGTGCCTTAAATCGATGGTGATACGTTGGTGGTTGCGGAGAACCCCGTATATACGCACAGCTTATAAGAAAACCCAAGTGAGTGATAATAACTTTTGTGTGTTTCAACAACCCTATGGTATCATTTTCATTTCTATTTCAATTTGTTTACGCGATTTTCCACTCGCAGTCCAGTTTACTAAATTTCTATTGCGTAAACAACCGCGTTTTTCAATGGAATTATAAATGACAATATTTATATTTATCCTGTGAAAAGAATAAAGTGTTAAAATTGAAAAATCATTATACGGTTTGAGACAGTCAAGTAGGTAAATGTTGGAATGACAATAAATTCATATTTGTTGGCATTAGGCTTTGAAAGATCTGAGAACGATTACTGTTTGTATTTTATGAATAAATCTTCTGAGATGGCTTATTTGTTTAATATACGTGGATGATATTATTATTTCTGGTAAAGACATAAATTTATTAAATCAAAACTAATTATAAGTTTCAAAATGGTAGATGAAAGGGAATTGAAGAACTTTTTGGGATTGGAAATCAAGTATAACAGAGATAAGGGAGTTTTGAAGATAAATCAAGAAACTTACATAAAGGGGTTTATTAAAAAAAATGAAATGCAACACTGCAAAATATCAGTCATTCCAATAGAACCAAAATTAAATGTTGACATTTGTGAAGAACCTGATAAACTAACAAAGAAGCCATTTCGAGAATTGATAGGGTGTCTTATGTATGTACTTTATGTTGGGTTCTAGACCTGATATTTGTTATGCGTTGAATTTCAGCAGATTTCAAGACAGAGCTTCTGATACAGCTTGGAATCACTTAAAAAATATACTCAGATATTTGGAGGGGACACAAGGATTGGGACTGGAATTTAAGAGAGAACATATAAATTTTAATTTAGAATGTTTTGTGGACGCAGATCGTGTACTTCCCAAACATAAGCGCAACTAGGCTCCAAATTTGAGGGGTTTCTCCTTTTTTTTTTTCATTTTTTTTTTTTTTTTGGAGTTTGATGGAAAGAAAACGAGACGCGTAAAAGGTTAGTTTCACGAAGGTTTGTACTTACGTCATCATTTGCCTTTTTTAAAAAAAAAATAGGTTTTTTTTATGTCTGAAATTTCGAACAAACATATAGTTCGTTGCACGGCACGCAGGTTTTTACTTACGTTATCGATGACGTCATAACTTAGAGAAAAATTTATGTCATAGATTAATTCATGGAGCACCTTCGGAATTATTGTTTTGTAATACATTTTTTAACTTAGAAGAGAATTTATTCAGTTATCCGAAAATATATAAATAAAATTTCTCCTAGAGTGATTTTTCACTGGAAAATTTTTGAAATTTTCCTTCTGCCAGTTTTCCAGAAAAAAGTTAAAATTAAAAGAATGAATTTTGCTTAAAAGTTAGTTTTCCAGAATTTCTCCTGAAGTGATTTTTTACTGGAAAATTTTGAAATTTTTATATAATGAACTTCTCACTTTCCTCTTTCTCTTGTAAAATTTTCAAAATTTCCTCTTTGCTAGTTTTCCAGAAAAAAATTAAAATGTAAGAGGATAAATTTTCCTCAATTTTACTTGAAAAAGTCAATTTTCGAGAATTTTTTACTGGAAAATTTTAAAATTTTCCTATAATGAGTTCCTCAGTTTCCTTTGTTTTTTTGGAAAAATTTCCCAAATTTTGCTTTGCTAATTTTCCAGAAAAAAATTGAAATGTGAAATTATGAATTTTGCTTAATAAAGTCAATTTTCTAGAACTTTCCTTGGAGTGATTTTTCACTAGAAAATTTTGAAATTTTCCTATAATGAGCTCCTCATTTTCTTCTTTCTCCTGGAAAAATTTCACAAGTTTTGCTTTATTAGTTTTCCAGAAATAAATTGAAATGTGAGAGGATGAATTTTCCTTAATTTTGCATAAATAAGTCAATTTTCCAGAATTTTTCCTGAAGTGATTTTTCACTAAAAAATTTTGCTTCAATGAGATCCTCACTTTCTTTTTTTTTCTGGAAAATTTTCACAATTATCCCTTTGCCAGTTTCCTAGAAAAAAAAAAAAAAATACAAGAAAATGAATTTTGCTTAAAAAAGTCACTTTTTCCTTAGTTTTTGCATTTTCGAAAAACTCATAATTTTCGTAATTCCCCCGTAACTTTTTCGTAATTTTCCCATAACTTCAAAAATCATAATTTTTTCGTAATTCCCGTAATTTTTTGTACCTATTTTTAATTCCCCTAATTTTTTAAAAAACTTCGTTATTTTTAAATTCCCCCCAAGTTTTGTAATTTTCATAATTTCAAAATTCGTGATTTTCGTAGTTCCTATAATTTTTGTAATTTTTGTAGTTCTCTTTATTTTTATAATTCCAGTAATTTTTCGTAATTCCTGCAATTTTCCGTAACTTTTCAAAAATTGCGAAAAAGTGAGTGTCAAAATCGCAAGAAAGTGACGTTGGAATTACGAAAAATAGAAGTAAAAATTACGGAAAAATGAGGTTGGAAATGTTGGAATTGCCAAAAAGGTTGAGTAAAAATGGCGGAAAAGCAAGGTTATAATCGAGAAAAAATGAGGTTATAAATACGAAAAACAAAAGTAAAGATTATGGAAAAATTAGGTTGAAATTACGAAAATGTGAGGCGAAAATCGCGGAAAAGTGAGGTTATACTGGGCAAGAATAACGGAAAAGTGAGGCAAAATTCGCGGAAAAATTTGTTGAAATTGCGAGAAAGTGAGTTTGGACTTTTTCCCATAACTTTTTCGTAATTCCCTTAATTTTTCGTAACTTTCCAAAATTCATGGTAATTTTTCTGTAATTCCCGTAATTTTTGAATAATTCCTGTTGTTTCTCAGATTTTCGTAATTTTTTAATTTCTGTAATTTCTCAAAATATTCAGTACTTATTTTATAATTCCCTCTAAGTATTTGTTACTTTCAAAAATTCGTAATTCCCGTAATTTTCAATTTTTTTTTTGTGAATTTTCATTATTTCCGTAATTTCTCAGATAATTCTCCCTATTTCTGTAATTCTTCTTTAGTCATTGCAAATCTTGGAAAACTCGTAATTTTCGTAATTCCCGTAACTTTTTCATAAATCCCGTAACTCTCTAAAAATTATCGTAATTTTCTCGCAATTCCCGTGATTTTTTCTTATTTCTTTCAATTTTTATAATTCCTGTAGTTCCTCAGATTTTCATAATTTTTTAATTCCCGTAATTTCTCAAAAAACTCCATTATCTTTATAATTTCCCCCAAGTTTGTTGTGATTCTCAAAAATTGGTAATTTCCGTAATTTTTTTTCTTGGAATTTTCGAAAATTTTCAAATTCCCGTCATTCCTCAAAAAATTTTCGTTAATTTCATAATTCCCCCTTAGTTTTTGCAATTTTCGGAAAATTCGTGAATCCTGTAACTTTTTGTAATTCTTGTTATTTTCGTAATTTTTTGAAAATTGTCACAATTTTTTTAATTCCCGTGATTTTTTCATATTTTTCATAATTTTTGAATAATTCCTGTAGTTTTCAGATTTCCGTAATTTTTTAATTCCTGTAATTTCTCAGAAAACTCCGTTATTTACATAATTCCAAAATTATGTAATTCTCGTAATTTTCGTATTTTATTTTGGGAATTTTAGAAATTTTGTAATTCCTGTCATTTCTCAGATAATTCTCGTTATTTTCATGATACCCCCTTAGTTTTTACAATTTTCGAAAAACTCGAAATTTTCGTAATTCCCATTATTTTCGTAATTTTTTAATTTCCGTAATTTCTCAAAAAAATTCCGTTAGTTTTATAATTCCCTCTAAGTTATTGAAATTTTCGAAAGCTGGTAATTTCCGTATTATTTTTTGGGGGATTTTCGAAATTTTTCAATTCCTATCATTTCTCAGATAATTCTTGTTATTTTCTAATTCCCCCTTATTTTTTTCAATTTTTGGAAAACTTGGTAATTTTCGTTATTCCCGCAATTTTTTGCACTTTTCCCATCGTGATGTTTTCGTAATTCCAGTAATTATTTATATTTTCAATTTTCCTAATTTCCAAAAAAATTCAGTTATTGTAATTTTCGTAATTTCAAAAACTTGTGATTTCCGTTATTTTGGGAATTACCGTAATTCACGTAATTTTGAAATAACTTTGTAATTCTTTCCCGTAATATTTCGTAATACCCGTAATTTTTGTAATTTTCGTAGTTTTTTGTATTTTTCTCAATTCCCGTAATTTTTATAATTTCTCATAATTCCAGTAAATTTTCGTCATTTTACTGGGTTCCGAAAATTTTTCGTAATTCCCGTAATTTGTCTTGTTAGTTTTCGTAATTTTTCAAAAATTAGTAATATTTAAATAATTGACGTAATTTTGGAGTAACTTCGTAATTCTTTTGTGTAATATTTGGCAATTCCCATAATTTTTGTAATTCCCGCAATTTTTTGTTATTTCATGATTCTCGTTATATTCCCTAATTCTCGTAAATGTTTGCAATTCTCATAATTTTTCATATTTTACGTACTTTAACGTAATTCCCGTAATTTTTCATAACTTTTCAAAAACTATCGTTATTCTCGTAATTTTGAAAAGAGGAAAAATAAGGATAAAATCGCGGAAAGTGATGATAAAATCGCAAAAAAAAGAGTCAAAAATCGCAAAAAAAATATGAGTCAAAAATTTCAAAAAAAAGAGCCAAAAATCGCAAAAAAGTGAAGACATAATTGCAAAAAAGTGGGTTAAAAATCGCAAAAAAAAAATGAATCAAAAATTCCAAAAAAAGTGAGTGTGAATTCATGAAAAAGTGAGATAAGAATCGCGGAAAAATGAGGTAATATTTGCGGAAAAATGGGTTTACAATCGCGGAAAAGTGAATTTAGAATCGCGGAGAAGTGATAGTAAAATCTAAGATTTCTAAATTATGACGTCATCGATGACGTAAGTAAGTACAAAAAGTACAAAAAAAAATAATAATTTGGTTGCACTGAATTTTTATATTAGTTTTAGGTAGTGCTATGCTTCCAAACAACCGAAAATAAAAATTTCCAAAAGTATCAAACCAAAATCGCTTAGTTCTGCAAAAGAATGTAAAATAGTTTTGCAGGGCTTCGGCGACTTCGGCAGTACTCACTCCATACAAATCTAAAATAAATTACTAGGGCAATTTGGAGCTCAAAGCATCTCTTATATAATTTGATTAAAAAATCGCTTGTTTAATATACCAGTAATATTTCATAACACCTTATGACACGATTGTCACATTGTAACATTTCCTCAAATCAAATTCAATAAATATACACGAAGATGTCGCAACGAAGAAAAGAAAAAAAGGGCCCAAGCCCCGAAGAAAGATTAGCACGGGACAATAGGGCACGTAGAAAGTTCAAAGCCTTCATAAGGCTTGTGATGGCTAACCTTTTTTGGCTGGGAGACCTAGACGACACGCTGGGAGAAAATGTAATGCTCAACATACAAAAATTGACCAGAAAGAAAATCAAAAAGAGCACACTGACCACGAGAGAGAAACTGATTTTGACCAAACCGAAAGAGGACAGGACCGAGGAGGAGAAGCATTTATTGAACAGGGCTATTGGAGGTGAAAACATCTTCAACTATATTCAATTATTATGTCATTGAATTAATTTGCAGGACTAAAATGCTTCAGAAGATATCCGCCTAATGTAAAAAGCCAATTAGCCGCAGTCACTTATTTCGTCTACATTGGTCCAGACAGAGTAATTGTAAAGCAAGATCATCCTCCTTCTTCTATGTACTTTTTACTGTCCGGCGAAGGAGCGGTAACAGTTAGGACTTACGATAAAATGCTTAAGGAGTGGATCAAATCGGAGCATGGTAATTATTCTAATGTGATTCCTATTCTCAGAACATCAACAATAATTATTCTTTCTATAGGATTCGTTGGTCCAGGAACAATGTTTGGAGAAGTAGCTCTGATTCACGGTATAGCCAGAACGGCCACAATAACAACCACAATGCCCTGTGAATTATTGCTAATAAAAAAAGAAGATTTCGATATTGTCCTGAAGGAAACCGTGTGGAAAGCCTGGGAAGAAATCACCAAAATAATGAACAGGTATTCATATTTCAAAAACTGGGACGTCGTCACGAAACGTGAGTGCAGCATTATTTCGAGAACGAAGAATTTCAGAGCCGACCAGGTGGTTTTGGGCGACAATACTGGAGTATCTACATATTCATATTTAATAACTAAAGGCAGCTGTAGTGTAATCGAACATCTAGAAGTAAGAATAATTCAACTAGGCATTACCCAATAACAGCTTGTTTTTAGGTTTTGGTCTATTATGTTTCCGGAATCAAAAAATACAAACTTCATATTAGCCCCGAAGACAATGAAGAAGTATGTACTTCCAAACAACAGAAAGTTAAAATTTCCAAAACTATCAAACCAAAATCTAAAGAAGGCGAAGTGGAATTACATTTTATAAAAGTTTGCGAGCTAAGCGAGGGTGCTATATTTAATATCGGAGAGAATTTTGAACGGAGAAGGGTCGTGGCTGACACTAACACCAGTTGCCTGTTGATTCCGCGCTATTGGCTAATGAAAATGAATAAGGATAATATTTGGAATAGGGTGCAACAGTTTTTGAACAAGAATATTCCACGACGCAGAAAATTTTTGTGGAGTGGCTCAAGGAGAAGAGGTTTTTGGCTTACAGACAGAAGCTAGTCAAAGATATTATGGCCAAAAAGAAGGTTAACAATACGAATTGTATTCATAATGTACCTTATAGTATAAGGTTGAAGGAATCTACTGAAGCATATGAAAATTTTTGAAATAAATTCTCTTACCTTTTATTGTAATATAAAAGATGACACAACCAGAAGAAAGTTTTAGTAAAAGTTGTCGCCCATTCATTGATGTTAGTGGAATATTGATTGATCTCTTCTTTAGTGGTTTTTTCAATTTCTTCAGACAGTATTCCTTGTTCGCTTAAAAACTCTTGTAAAACTACCGCTGAAAATTTTTTGTTATAAAATTATTTCAATGAAATATGTAGGTAAAGCATCATACCCAAGAGTTCTCTAGCATTTGAAGCCACGCACTCCACGCAACAAATTTTAATCAGTTGCGGTGCGGCCTCAAACAATATATTCAAAAATTTGTCAACAAGATCTTGAAACTTTTTCAATTCAATGCTCGCTTTCAGTGAACCGCGGACTCTCATGAAAAACGTGAACATGTTTCTTATGCAAAGGGCAATTGGATGGTCAATGTTGATTTCCTGCATAATAATAATATTAATTGGCTTCAATTAATAATATTGTTGCTTTACCTCTATTTGTAGGTTTTTCAATACATCCGTAGAATCTTCTAATAACCAGTTGGCACATGTTTGAAGTGCTGGCGATTCCAAAGGAAATCTTTTCAAAGAAAAATAATTTGCATTATACCTACCTATCTTTTTTGCTATACCTACTTACACTAGCGTAGCTAAACCAAACGTGGACGTCGGCGACATCCGAATTGCGAGGCCCTTTTTATGAAGGGGTGGTCATATTTTTTGTGACAAAAAACTGCATATAAGACTGCCGGCAAGCCCCCCGAACCGAAAGATAACCGCGGAAGGCGAGAATTTTTTGAGTGTCACGCCACCTTTTTCAGGCATATCAACATTCGATAGTCATTTTCAGTCAAAAATAATAATATTTTTCCGCTAAAAATCCTACAGCCAAAAATAAATTTCTCATTTATTACAGTATGACGCAAACATGGACTGACCATTTTTAGTAGGAATCAGGAAATTTTTCAGGAAACCTAATTAATTTCCGAATCCCTGTATGTTAGTATGTTTATGTTTGCTGTGCAAAATCAAATGTTGGATAGACTTTCAAAATGCTGTAGAATGTACAGGGTGTTTCCTTATATTTTGACCCCTACCTACAGCTTTAGCTATACGAAGTGTAAAAAAACTTTAAATATGAAAGTTGTAGGGTTTTATGTCTATTATCTTTTTCGAATGTCAAAATGGGCAAATGACAGGTGTCAACTGTCACAATGACAAACACTTGCATTTTTCAAATGGAACACCCTGTATATTTTTGTCTAGAATGATAGATCGTTTTCTTCTGATTCCAAACATACCATATGATGTTGATATTTGGTTCAGCTGCTTTTACTCTATTCAAGTTTAAAAATGCATTTTTTTAAAATTTAATCTGTCCTGGTTTCTTATATCAATGATGAGGCTTGCTCAATGCAATTTTAAAATTGAATAGCGCAAAAAACAACTGAACCAAATATCAACATATATGGTATATTTGAAATCAGAACAGTGGCGGCTCGTCAAAGGAGGCAGGGGAGGCTAAACCTCCCCCAAAAAATTGAAAATTCAATCTCAATCTTTTATTCCTGATTTCTAATTAAAATAATAATTTACAAATTACACTTTCCAATTTTCGATATTTCAATGTAATTTAGAAAAATCTGACAACATTATTTCAATCAATCCTGCGCCTCCACGACAAATATCTGTGAATCTGGGATACTCAGTGATACCGGCCCGAAGGGCCGGAGTTATATGCGAGCCCGAAGGGCCGGAGTTATATGCGAGCCCGAAGGGCCGGAGTTATATGCGAGCCCGAAGGGCCGGAGTTATATGCGAGCCCGAAGGGCCGGAGTTATATGCGAGCCCGAAGGGCTAGAGTTATTTTAATATCGGGGCCTAGTTTATAATTCTATTGGTAAGCGGATAATTTAGAGCTAATTGAAAACCGGGAGTATTTAAAATGCGATTTCTAACGTCCGATCAAAGAGTCAGGAATATTCAAAAACTTTAGTTTTATCAAATTAGCTTTGGAATGTTGGTTTTCTTAAGATTTTAATTTTTTTTCAGAAAACGGTGGTTTTTGCAAACATATACTACTTTATCATTGTCTTTGTCTTACTCACTATAATCAATAAGTAAACCTTTAAATGTCATTTTCATTGAAATTAAACTAAAAACAAGTTTCCTATAATTTATTTGGGGAATTTTAATTATTATAATCATTATTAATTAATTATTAAATTGATTTTTAAACAAAAAACCCTTTTAAAATGTTATTTTTGTTTTCCGAAATGAGATGTGGCAACGTTGCTTTTAGTCGGCCATTTTGAAGTGACGCCTTGTAATTTTATGCCAGTTTTTCCTCGAATTTTTCACTTTTCCGGGGCTTTTCAATGGAAAAAGGAAATTTAACATACGAGACTTTGGGCCTTCTTCATTTTCTAGCAAAAATGTCCAGTTTTAAAATGACATAAATAACAAAATCCCATTTAAAATGTTTTTTTTGGAAGTTTCGATGTGGCAACACCGTTTGTACCAACTTCAAATAGGTTTTGTAATAAATGTCATTTGCCAGTTTTGACAGTCGGCAATTTTTAATTGACGTGTTTACATTTCTATTCAGCTTTTCCTCGAATTTTCCACTTTTCCAAGCCGTTTTCAGTCAAGAAACCCGATTTGAAATACGAGGCTTTGAATTTCCTACATTTTGTGCTAAAAATTCCCAGTTTTTCAATGGGGTATGTGACAAAAACACAAATTTCATTAAGTAGGCTTTGGAATGTCATTTTTAGAGGTTTTTCTTTGAATTTGTCCGCTTTTCCAGGGCTTTTCTGGTCGGAAAAACCGATTTAAAGTACGAGGCTTTGAGTTTTCTTCATTTTCCACCAAAAATTTCCAGCGTTATAACGGGGTAAGTGAGAAAAACTTTAGTTTTATCAAGTAGGTTTTGGAATGTCATTTTCGTTGTTTTTTTTTTTGGAATTTTTATTTAAGGTTTTTGGGGTCCGGGGATCGTTTTCTATCACTTTTTTTCTCGAAATTTGCAAAATAAAAAAATAAAACACTTTTTTGACGTTGACAGCTCTCAATTTTTTTTTGACACAAATCGATAGTTGGCGTCGCGAAACTGCCTTGTACCAGGGTTTGGTTTTCGTAGCTTTTATAGTAGAGCGGGAAAAAAGTCGAACATGTGTCAAATTTGACAGGTGACATTTGTCGATATTGCCAAAGTGTCGTGCGACAAAAGTTTTATCCCAACGAACCCGTTCATTGTTAACTGATTTTTCATACTCCGGCCCAAGGTTTGAAATTTGAATTTTTTGACGTTTGTTGTATCATGAGCAGCGTTGCCATATGTTTTTATCAAATCTCAATTTATAGGTTATTTTAAACCCAATCATTGACATTTCTGAAAAATATTTCCTTTAAAATTCCCAAATATCCTTTGGAATCCCCAAAAATCTATTAAAATCTCAGAATTCCATAATTTAGTGGAATTTCGATAGAATAATTATGTTATTCTGAAAAAGGAATTAGATGTGAAATTTTTACGGAGTTTCCATAGAATTCACATTGAATTTTAATTCCTCTCGAATTACTTGAAATTTCAGTGAAATTCCGATCGAATTACACGAAATTCTAAATGAAATACATGGAGGAATTTTAAACAATTACATGAAATTACACCGAAATTCCCAACATGATATTTCAGTTTTTACTGAATTTTAGTAATGCCGAGGAATTTCCAGCTAAAAACATGGAATTTCGGTGATATTCCGAAAAACTACCATGTAATAACATGAAATTTCAATATATTTCGATGAATTTTTAAGAAATTACTTGAAACTTCATTAATATTCCCAGAAATTCCTAGGTATTAAAAGAGAATTTCAGTGAAATTCCGAAAAATTCTTATGAAAATAAATTAAATTTTGAAAATTCCATGAAGTTTCATTGGACTTTCGAGAAATTTTCTGTTATGAACATGGATATTCTCATAAAATTTCAGTGAATTCCGAGAAATTTTTAAGAAATTACATGAAATTCCAAAAAAAAATTATGAAAATATTGTGGAATTCCAGGATATTTCAGTGGTAAAATTTTGAGGAATTTTAGTAAAGTTAAAAAAAAAATATAGAATTTTGAAATTGAAATCTCCTAAAATTCCGAGGAATTTCATGAAATCCTATACTGTAATTAGCCTCCTCACTTGAAATAGTCACGAGCCGCCACTGAATCAGAAGAAAAAAAGCTATCATTCTAGCCAAAAATATTCAGGGTGTTCCATTTGAAAAATGCAAGTGTTTGTCATTGTGTCAGTTGGCACCTGCCATTCGCCCGTTTTGACATTCGCAAAAGATAATAGACATAAAAACCTACGAGCCGGTTTCTCAATAGCGAGTCACCAGTCACTTCCGGGTTGGTTTTAACTCCAGGGTAAGCGTGTCCAGTTGCTATGTTTACCCTGGAGTTATCCTTAACCCGGGGGTGACTTGCTATTGAGAAAACGGCTCTATAACTTTCATACCTAAAGTTTTTTTCCACCTCGTATAGCTAGAGCTGTAGTTAGGGGTCAAAATATGAGGAAACACCCTGTACAATACAGCCAAATACTGTACGTATGTCTCGGTTGGAGGTTGGAGGGTCGGCTACCATTCGAGAAAAGTGCTAAATAATTTAAATAACCAACAATACGTGATAAGAATGGTGCCACAATTACCGTACAGTATTTCGCTGTATTGTACAGGGTGGTCCAAATTGGACATTTTCTTATGGAAACGCCCTTTATTTTTAGAGATAGAAAAAAATGGACCCCCCACTCTGAGGCTCAAATTTCATGACAACTTGATTGGTGCAAACCGCATTTTGATATCTTCAACCGTTTAGCCGCTAGAGGGCGATTCTCGATTTTGAGCAATGTTGTAAAGTCTCCATAACTTTTTTGTTTATGAAAATAATTCATTTCTGTAAAAACTTTCTAGAAGCACTTTTTCAAGCAGAATTCAGTGACGTTCTGAGTTTTTTTCTGTTTGGCTTCGCCTTCGAGATATTGACCAAAATCCGATTTTTTTCAATAGAACACCCCTTTAATAATTAATAGCTCATTAGAAAGCTCTGCTTTCGCTGATTTCAATGATATAAAGTTCGATAGGTTTATCTCTAACGGTTTTCGAGAAAAAAAATATTCCGGTTTTTGTCATAAGAAACAATGTGTTGGAGAAGGACTTTATCTCTGTAAGGAAACTGAAAAAGGTCTCTCTCTAACACATTGTTTCTTATGACAAAAACTGAAATATTTTTTTTCCCGTAAACTGTTAGGGAGAAACTTAGTGAAATTTATATCATTGAAATCAGCAAAAGCAGGTCTTCCCAATCAGCTAATAATATATAGGCTGTCGTATTGAAAAAAGTTGAATTTTGGTCAATATCTCGAAATCGTAGCCAAATAGAAAAAAACTGAGAACGTCACTGAATTCTGCTTAAAAAAGTGGTTTAAGAAAGTTTTTACGGAAATGAATTATTTTCATAACCAAAAAAGTTATGGAGGTTTCACAGTATTGGTCAAAATCGAGAATCGCCCTCTAGCGGCTAAACGGCTGAAGATATCAAAATGCGGTTTGCACCAATGAAGATTTCATGAGATTTGAGCGTCAGAGTGGGGAGTCCATTTTTTTCTATCTCTAAAAATAAAGGGTGTTTTCATAAGAAAGTGTCCAATTTGGACCACCCTGTACAATACAGCGAAATACTGTACGTATATCTTGGTTGGAGGTTGGAAAGTCGGCTACCATTTGAGAAAAGTGCTAAATAATTTAATTAACCAACAATACGTGATAAGAACGGTGCCACAATTACCGATTTATCGAAATACCGAGAATCTACCGAAAAAATAAAAATCATATGATTTGAGATTTCTAGGTTAATTTGCAGTAGGTACCGACGTCGCCGACGCCTAGCTACGCCACTGCCTACTTACTTCAAAAGAATGAATCCCGAAACAGTATTAACTTCATTGATGGCTGGTATTGATCTAAAATTCTTCAATATTTCAATGATGATTTTGTCCAGAGAGGAATAATGGTCAAAACTTGATTTGTATCTCGACGCTACTAGAAGCGGTGCTGATAGCATGATGGACACACAATAGTTCGCGCAGGCCGGGCAAAATAGTTTAAATTCGGATACGAATTTGCAAATTGAAAACACATCCAAGTCTGGGAACAGTTCGTACAAGTTGCCTGTTGCTGATAGTCTGGAAATTCATTTATTAGTTTCCCAATACCATTGGCAATTATTATTTGTTTCTTACCTCATTATTATGTTTTTGAAAACAATAAGTAAATTGTGGTATACGTCTTTAGGAAATGTTTCACCGTAAGATGATAGTGATTGGCAAGCAAAGTCGAGAGTCAATTTCATCGATATTGCGTTTGTATAGAATATATCGGCTGCTGTGATTTTCAATAGAAAATCTAAGGTTTGCCTGAAATAATTGCATGTCTTTTTACATGATTCAGGAAAGTATGATACACTTTTTAGGTTCGGTTTACTCATCTCCAGACTCCAGATACAGATAAACTTGCTGGTAAGATGAATTTACCGATCTAATGCGTTTTTACTGTTGGAGGTCCAATGGATCAACAAAAAGGTTGTTAAATATTTGAAATTATCTCAAATTCCATTTAATCCAATTAATAATCATCATTTACTTACCTCATCTGTTGTATGTCTCTCACGACGATACTTTGGAGTTCCTTATATGGAAAGTGATGAACAAGGCGCAACAAGTTTTCGGGGGAAAATGAAAAATTATCAACATTATCATTATCGGACCACATTTTAATTAATTTACTTGAATAAAAGGTAAAAAACACTAATGTATCAACGCGCTGGCGATATTTTTGTCAAATAAATAATCATCTCGGTGGTTGAATGTCAAATTTCCCATAGCCTACTTTGACGAAAATGGGCAGAGACGGATTATTTGACAGGTGACAGTAAACGTAAACGTAATTTTTCAAATAACCGTGCGTTCGTTATTTTGGTCTGAGTTCTCGGAGCTTGACTTTACCGTTCGTTTATTTAAAAAGTGTACTCGGTGCAACCTCATACGCGTTCATTTATTAAAATTTTTGGCACTTTTATACAGCGTACAACTGCTCTGTTCGCTCGCTGGTCACGTGAGTACGGCTCCGCTCAGCACGCTCTGCTCTTTGAGCAAAATATCGAACGCAAGGCAAGAAAATCCTGGTTAAATGTCAAATTTCCATGGCCTACTTTGATGAAAAGCGGCAAGAAACTTTGCCGATGAGCCAGATTCTGCGATACGTAAACAAGCACGTAACATTTTAACATGAAACTAATAGCGATTTCCATTTCTAGAATCAGTGCAAAAAAAAAATGTAAGTAAGTAATAAGAGTTCTTTTCACGTGGCTCCGGTTTACCTAACCGGGTTACAAAACGGTTAGCGAAATGACATACCGTTTTCTTGCCCGGTTACAAAAGTGACGAGATGGATACCTACCACTCGAATTTGAGCAGTATGTTGCGGTTTGTTAAACCCGAGCCACGTGAAAAAGGTTAAGGAAATTTTTATCTTTAAGCGTTTTTAATTAGCATAGCAAGTGCAATACTGATGTTATATTTCCGTTCCAGAGCAGGTTCGCGCAAACTTTTTATGTTCCATTGGAAAAACGATGCATTTAGCTTTGCACCCAGTGCGCTTTTTGTCGCACCGATTAAAAATACTGTGTTGCACCCAGTCAGTGCAGTATTTTTGGCAGTAGAATTGTTTTTCTTTTCGTGTGCCTATTTGAAGTAAAACTTCTGATACTCATCAGTTCGAACTGCACTAGAGCTATTTTTCAAATAATAATTATTGTTCCGGGATAATTTTTATGTAATTCAAATGTTTTATTATAATTTGGAAATTGTTGACTGGGATTTATTCTAAATTATTGATTATATTACACTATAGTTATTGTGGCGCCACCTATTAATGAGCTATTAAACGTCAAAAATTACAGCCACCATTCATGTTTAATAAAATGACATTAGAATTTAATATCACTAGTTGTTTTCCTTTCAAAAGCTTGAAACACTCGAGCTACTCGCTCCGGTGTTTAGTCGCCCCCAATTTGCAGGGAACAGATGCGTGGTGCAACAAACACTTTTCGAAAGGAATAAAGCGCGTGAAGCCCCGGAGCTGTTCCGGAGCTCCTCCCACGTGTGAAAGGAATACAACTATTAGGGGCGAGTTCAGTGTGATTAACCTTGCGTTCGGTATTTTGCTCGAAGAGCAGAGCGTGCTGAGCGGAGCCGTAATCACGTGACCAGCGAGCGAACAGAGCAGTTGAACGCTGTATAAAAGTGCCGGAAATTTTAATAAACGAACGCGAATAAGGATACACCGAGTACACTTTTTAAATAAACGAACGGTAAAGTCAAGCTCGGAGAACTCAGACCAAAATAACGAACGCACGGTATGATACCGGTGCGATGCCCTAGCTGTTCAAAAATGCTAGACGGTGCTATGGGCCCAATGGCCAATTGTCAATTCAGGCACACCCATAAAATCGCACTCGCACCCTGTGCGTTATTTCTGAACTTGGCCTAGTTGTATTCCTTTCACACCTAGGAGGCGCTCCGGAACAGCTCCGGGTACAGTGACTCTATTACCACAGTGGCGACAACTGCTGTCTTATTTTTGATTGGTTTTAAAATCCTATATATTTATATTGAAAACGCCGCCATCTTGTTCCCAACCTCTTGTTACTTTTGAATCCAGCTTGTATGTGAAGGTTTATTTAGCCACTGGCATGTAATATTGACAATTGAGTTGAAGAGGGCGCTTCTGTACTTGGATCTCTTTAAATTTTGGCGCGTAAAAATTCGATTGTAATTCTAACCTCAAAACTGAAGTTTGATGTGTGGTTTCAAGACAAGCTAACGCGTCAAGCCCCGGGGTCGTCTATCCCCACCGCTAGCGTCTCAGCGAGGCATCGAAGCTCCACAGCTTCAGTGTCCGAACTGTCACTAGTGTCAAAGTCAGATAATAATAGCCGCTTTCCAGCTGTGTGCTTCAAGCACGGTGTAGCACAGTGTTCTGTGTTTGAAACGTAAAAGTTAGCAGCTCTTGAAGCGCAGTACGGCTAGAACACGAACACGCGCTTGAAGCATTTGCGCGCGCAAAAGCTCGATTGCGTGCTCAAAAGTGTCAGCTGGAAAGCGGCTTATATGTCCCTCAATTACTGTTCTTTTCAGAGCGTGCGCTGATGCGCCCCAGGGCGTCGAAGCCCGGGGTTTCGAAGCTCTGGAGAGAAAGCACCTCTAAAGTGCTCAGTGCTCAAGCCCGAACAAACCATTTAGGCTTGGTTCGGCTATTCAGCACGGAGTTGGAGTGGAGTAAGAACAGATTTTTGTCACGTGATCTAGGAGTGATTAGAGTGAAAAATTAATACACGAACGACCGGAACGGTCGAAGAAAAAATGTCTAGCAGCTATTTTTTTTTGTTTCGAAACAGTTGACCGTGACTCTATTACCAACGCCAATTTTTTTTTTGGTCTTTTGTGTCACTATGTAACAACCACAACGTGACAACAACAAGCTTGACAGTTTCCACATTTCACTACTGCGCATGCTTTCCGCGGTGGAACTTTTGCAGTGAACTCCGTTTACTCCACTCCGTATAGTCGAACACTAATGGAGTCGCCCCTAATACGCCAAAAAGCAATGCTCGAACGGCTAAAGTGCGAATAGAGTGAGCAAGCCGAACCCACCTTTTCAATGCATGAAAGCTAGCGCATCTGTTCCTTTCAAAACGAGGTCGACTAACACTGGAGCGAGTAGCTTTAATGCTCTAAACTCTTGAAATGAATACAACTTTTATGCAGCAACGCCATGTTGAAAGACATCAAAAATGATGCACAATACTACTACAGGATCGCGTATTCTCATAGGACTATGTGTTTTTTAGTTGAAGTTTCAAGCCCCTCACCATGCCAAAGCACCAAGGATGACGTAGCAGCGTGTCGTTTCACGCCTTGACGTTCTACCATTCTATGTTGGTCATTGTCATTTTCCATTCATTAAACAAAGATAGCTATTTCATCGGTTAAGGGCCGGTATTATAAAACTGCTTTGACAGTTAACTTCAAGTTAACTGTCAAAGCAGTTTTATAATACCCACCGTCAGCGATTAGAATAAAGACGGGGAATTTCCAATTAGTATAGCAAGTGTATCGTCACGGCTGTGCAAGTGCAACACTGATGTTATATTTACGGTCAGAAGCACCTCCATGCAATAGAGGGAACTAATAAAACACAATAACATTCATCCTAATAAATGATGCAATTAGGAAAAAAATATAATATCTTATCCTTGGTGTCCAAAATCTTCAATTGAAAAATACCAAATAATTCCAAATTCATGACGCGATCAAAAACGTGTTTCTATGGGTCGTGACGTCACAAGGCAGTAATAATCGGGTCGCGCCGCGGCCACGTCATATGCTGCTGGTGTCGCCAATGTCAAATCTATCGTGAACGCCATACATAACAACATAACCATAATCTGAATCTACCTTTGAATATAAAACTACAGGAAGGAGCGTTTTCTATGTCACTACAGACAACGCAGAGACGGAAACGGCCATATTGAGCCTCCAAGTATGGACTCGTCATTTGTTTTGGTGGTTCGCTGTGTCCTCATTCAAGTGGAGGTTTAATGGATTTTAGAGGTTTTAAGTGATAATAAGCACTGGGATTAGTGCGAAAAGAGTGAGTCATAATATTGACAATCATATTTAAATAAATATACGCCACTGCCAAACCGGAAATACTAGTCGGCCATATGCAACCTCCACATATTTTGGTCGCGCAGATTCGAAGTTATGCTCCTTCCTGTAGTTTTATATTCAAAGGAATCTACCATTCGAAGTGCGAAGTGCTCGTCACTGTCAACGGAATTTTGTTGCCGAGTGACGTCACACTAATCGGTCCTTTTAAATGGCGATGTTTCGAGAGTAACTTCAAATATTTATAAAAAATTAACGGCTGATTTTTAATGCTTGATATTTGGTATGACTATGTCTTTAGTGTAGTAGAATACATTAGTTGTATTCCTTTCAAGAGTTTGAAACACTCGAGCTACTCGCTCCAGTGTTTAGTATGCCCCGATTTGTAGAGGATTAGATGCGGGGTGCAACAAACACCAGCACCGAAAGGAATAAGCGCGTGAAGCCCCGGAGCTGTTCTGGAGCTTTTCCTGGGTGTGAAAGGAATACAACTATTTTTGAAATAAAAAAAAAAATGTGCAAGTTCCCTATTATTTCATGTTCCATTGGGAAAACGATGTACATAGTTTCGCACCGAGTGCGCTTTTTGCTGCACCGGTTAAAAAGATTGTGTTGTACCCAGTGCAGTCTGACACTCATCGGTTCGAACTGCACTAGAGCTATTTTTCAGCGAAAGAAAACGTCAAATAGAGCTGAAAGTGTCCAAGGATCAAAGTGTGCCTTTTCAGCCACAGACTGCATAAACTGCTGATAGTGTGCCGATAATGGTGACGTCACTCCCAAGCCCTGCCGCCTCGAGAATTGGCAAACGTATGCTTTATGAATATGAGGATATAAGCAATCCTGTTAGTTCAAGATTATTGACGCAAAATCAATTTATATATCAATAAAGATATCGATATCTAAATTTGAAATATCGATACCGTTACGCGCTTATTTTTTTCGCAAAGTGTTTGTTGCATGAGTGTTCAATCCCGAACTCAAACCATTCAATGCTTGCGTTCGGTATTTTGCTCAATGAGCAGAGCGTGCTGAGTGGATCCGTAGTCACACTATTCACGAGACCAGCGAGCGAATAGAGCAGTTGAACGCTGTATCGGGGTGCTAGAAATTTTAATAAAAGATCGCGAATGTGAGTACACTTTTAAAATAAATGAACGGTAATTTCCAGCTCGGAGAATTCAGATCAAATTACCGAACGCCCGGTATGCACGAAAACAAACACATCTGTTCCTTTCAAATCGGGGTCGACGATAACACCGGAGCAAGTAGCTCTAGTGTAAACTCTTGGAAGGAAAACAACTATTCTAGGGTTACTCCTTTTATTTTGCTCTGTGGATTCCTGAGAGAAAATAAAAGAAGAATCGTAAGTCAAATTCTTAGGTTATGTTGTCGACTTACGACCGCAAATTTCTAACCCCAAAAAAAAAAATGTCATCCGCGAAAATAATTTAGAAATGTCAAATATTTAAAGAACAATGCATGCACCAATCTTGAATTAATTTTTAATATCTAATAATTATTAATTCGAGGCGGCCCGATTTTAAGTTTTAGGAAAAATAATTGTCCTCAAGGATGAGTACCGAGACACAGGAGAAACCCATCATTTCCGTTAATGATGTAGACGAGGAGCTAGCTGAAAAATACAAATCCGAAGCCAATGAATATTTCAAAAGTAAGTTGAATTTTCCTCTAATTAATTATTGTAGATTTTAATTCGATAATCAAAAAAGAGTGGTTTATAGTCTATTTACTTTCAACCATGTGATGGATTTTAGACTCTCTGATTTTCTACAATTCATGTTAATTTTGTTAAAATTTAAGTAAACCTTGCAATTTTTTAATAATTGCTAATGATGTTATTTAAATATTTACTTATTAGAACTATTGTATAACCTTGACAAGTAATAACACACATGTTCTCAATAATAATTAGAACAAACAAGCTTTTATAGGTATTTAATTCTGAGGTATTTAATTAGTAGCAAACTTCCATTCTTGGTTAATGTAATCAAAGCATTATATACTCCTTTTTAGTTTTTTTCATTCATTCTTAAAAAAAATAGTATATTATCATTGGACTGAGCTAATTAGTCTATACCGTGTTTTTCAATCTTTTTTAATATGTGACCCCTTCACAGGAAGACTACATTTAGGTATAATTTTCTCTATTTTGGTACCTATGTTCATTATTAAGACCTACACTCTACAAGAAGCGTGTGTGCTCAACCTTTCTGCAAAATAATATATTTGAGTCTTTTCCATGTGTTCAGACTATTGAAGATAATCTGTGGTAAAGTAGAGGCTCACATGCCTTGTATGATACACAAAAGAAACTATTTACAATGGGCGTGGATGGATACTGAAACCTTTCTTGGATAAGTCAATAGAACTGGCTGATCTCACCATTAATATGAAAGGAAATCCCGAGGGAAATCCTATAGATTTAGCTGCTGACAGCATGCCTTGAATGGAATTTCATACACAAAGTATTTTGAATAAAAAGAAAACAGAATATCCATATCATTTGCTCTGCATAATGGTATTTCACCCTGGAGAAATCTAAGAATATCCAGTGGCGGCTCGTGGTATAACATATTGGGGGTGCACATAATTTGTAATTCATAATAAATGCCGGTTGCGTTTGTTTTGCTGGCGCATTTGGCCACTAATTTTTTAAATTAATACTTTACAGGTAGATTGTTAAAATTTGAAGAATGATAAAATTAAATTTAAAGTTGTTTGATATTAATTTGGGAGTGCACGTGCACATGTGCTCTTATGGAGGAACCGCCACTGAGAATATCCAGACCTGGTAAGGGAAGCTCTAAAATTATAAGTGCCACTTTCCACTTCACACCATACCAATGGTGGACAATAAAACTAAAAAGAGAAAATAGACCTTGATAATTCAAAACTGATTTGATTATTAACATTTCAAAAATACCACCACGCTTTAATAAATTTTTGAAAAATAAACAAGCCAAAAATTGTGTTTTAATAGTAGTGTAGAACCTTGCCTTTTTCCTTTCACTTGTGACCCTCTCAGTGAGGCTTTGCGACCTCCCTAACATTGAAAAACACTTTTGTGCTATTAGGTATATCTGGCATAAAATTGTTTTTTCTAATATCGTATGTAAATTACTTACTTTATGCACTCTTCAAAAGATGTTGCATTAGAAATTTCTCCTCTTTATTTCCACTTTTTTTAGTGTCATTTTTTTTCTATTCCAGGCTCTTGAGTTATGCTTTAGTGTGAATTTTTTTGATTATTTCAGGATCTTGAATTTCTGTTTGAAACATTTAAAAGCCTGGGATAGAAAAGAAAAATGATCTAATTTTCTTGAAATTCTTGTCTCTCTATTTCTCTTCTCTTTAGTTTCAATACTCAACTATTCCAGGCTCTTGAATTTTTGTTTCCATCTAAATTTCCTTTTATCGAAGGGTCAGCCACTCTGTAAAAATTTGTACACCTATCGCGAAAATGTTGGTATTTCGTCGGTGGTAGTAATTCGAACTAGTTTTTTGTGATATTGCCGAGTACTTCAGAGTATTTGCAGGTAATTCGAAGTATTTCGAGGTAATTCAAAGTATCTCGAAGTATTTCGCGTTAAGCTGAGGTATTTCGAGCTATTTAATTTTTTTTATGTACCAAGAACAATTATTAATACTCTATCACCTAAAATTGAAATATTATAGAATGAAGTGAGTCCATCTTCGAACAGGCTAAATATGTTGACATAATTTGGATTTACTGCAGATTAATTGAAACAAGTGGAAATATATACTACCTGATACATATACATGTATAAGTAGAGTCATTAGTCATCCAACAAGAACTGAACAGGGGTTGACAGGGGATTATTTTTGACTTTCCCTGTATTTTTCGGAAAATTCAAAATAGCCAATTGGAACATTTTTTCTGGGGAACTCAAAAATGGTTCCAAAAAATCATTTGAACCAAAAACCAAAGAATTAGGCCAGGGATGAGCTGTTCTTTAACCCTTTGTAACCGAGAAATTTTTTTAAAACAAAAACACGTTTAAATATGGATTTATGGGTTTATTACCTTATAAAAAACATGTAACATCCAAAAAAAATTTAAGCCAATTGCTGATTTTTGATTTAGATGGTGGTAAGCTAAGGCTACCACTCGGCCATTAGAGTTCGTGGTACAATTTGAAGCAATTTCGTTCGTGATTGATACAAAGTGGAACCTTGCATGCTGTACATGCCCATAAGGTCCTGCGCTGTTGAGCTTTGCTGCTACAGTGATTGCAACGTCTAGAAGTTCCATAAATTGGCAAATGACTTGACTTGTCAATTCGTGTTTCCAAAGAGACCTGTTTTTTGAATTTGTTCTCTTTTGTATTGGATAACGCTTTCTCCAACGAAATTCGATTTTTTTTTTGTGGTGCTCCAATAAGCCCAGCTGCAACATCAATTATGAATTGCTTCAAGTTCAAAGCGCTGCCATCGGAGCGTTCACGATAAATTATAAAAGCGTTGACTATCGTTGTGTCCAAAAAGTGCCAGACAATTCGGTGGTACCATTTTTTGCTTTTTCTGTCGATTGCATAACATTTTTTTAGCATGTCAGCTTTGTCCACAAATCCCATATATTTATTATAATCTGCTACTAAAGATGGACAATCAACTGCAGATGTTGATCCATCTTTTTGTCTTCTATTGACGTGATCGGATTTCTCGGGGTTGTGATAGTTGCTCAGAAAGTACACTGGTTTTTTATCTATCCATTTCAAGCACACTAAACCTTCTTTTGTCATTCGCCAGTCGGATTCTCCACGTTTCATATTCTTGTCGAGCTTCAAATCAGTTGGTAGAAATTTTTTGTTTTTCCTCAAAGTACCACATGCAAAAATATTATTAGCTTTTAGATTCAGTAAGAGAGGAACATTGGTAAAATAATTATCAAAAAAAACTTTATGGTTTTTTCCTACCAAGTCTTGGGTTAGATCTTTTACCACCCGCCCTCCTAAATCTTTTTCTGTGACTTCATTGATTTTTCCTGTATATATTTGAAAATCGCAAACATACCCAGATCTATCTGCACGAACCCAACATTTATAACCTCTTTTGATAGGTTTAGCAGGCATGTATTGCTTGAGAGTTGTCATTTTTCCTTTATATTTTATCATACATTCATCACAAGCTTGATACTCAGATGGACGGTAACATCGCTTGTACTTGGATTGTAAAATGTCTAACATAGGTCGAACCTTGAAGAGCTTGTCAAAATTAGGTTCACCCTTTTTTGGTTGAACGGAATTATCTGCAAAATGCATATTTGCTAGCAACCAAAGAAATCTATCTCTGGATATAGCTTTGGAAATGTAATGATCTCTTATTTCAACCTGGGATGACCAAAAATCTCTTAGACTTGGTAATTTTTTTATGCCCATGAGAATATTTACTCCTAGAAATACCTTCATTTCTTCAATGGTTGTTGCTTTGAATCCTTGCGCTCCTTTGCGAATGTATTTTTGGGTAGCAAACAGATTGGTTTGAAAAACAATCAACTCCAAAAATTCTTGGGTCCATAGTTCGAGAAACGCTTCAACAGGTGTTTCAATGTTATCATCAACATAAGGACCAGATATTTGTGAAAAATCTGCAGGCATATCCGTAAACAAGTTTCTGTTTGTCCATAATACTTCCATGGATTTACTAGCATTATTATCAACACGTCGTAGTCTTTTCGATAAAACTGAAAGAGGCACTTCATTTTCGGAGTCACTCTCACTCGCTTCAGCTTCAGCAACTGTTGTAGTTTGAGTTTCAGTTTCATTAGGTACCTCTTCTAAATCATCTTCGTCTCCAGATAAGAAATCCCCAGCTATTGACTCGCCATCTGATGGAATTTCTGCTAAATAATCATCATCATCATCTGGATTTTTTCCAAGAATTTCATCAAGCTCATCTTGGCCCATTTGCTCCAAATCAAAAAAAGACCAAGCCCGCTTTCCTGAAAAAAATAAACCTATTTGTGACACAAATTGCAGCAAAAAATATTTTGCAATATTATTTTCTGTGTCTAGTGGTAGCTAGGCCGTACCACCAAACTTTTTGTATTAGCTAATGAAATAACCAAAGAATATTATATATGCATATTTTCTAGTAATTATTAGACATTTATCTACCATACTTACCGGCCATAACTGTTAGTTTTTCCTTTATTCGCAAAAACAGCACAAAATTCTTGAGAGCTCAAAAATACTTCACACATGTAAATAAAGCCGTTACTAAAAATCCCCGAAAGCCCGGTGATCGCGCTATTAAAATTTTTTTCTGATAGATGGCTATACTTACGTCGAATTAAATCGGTGGTATACCGTGATTACCACTAGGCATCAAAATAGAAAATAATAAATTTATGGTACTCTGAGCATACCACTGGGCGGAAAAGGGTTAAATGGAACAGCCTGTTTTTTGTTTGATGTTTGGAGAAGTCGCACTTTTTTACTTCCATTCTGTTGATCATCCATGGCGTAACTCTTTGGTTTTTGGTTCAGACGATTTTTTGGTACCATTTTTAATTCTCCAGAAAAAAATATTCCAATTGGCTACATATTTGAATTTTCTCAAAAAAACAGGGAAAGTCAAAAATTGCCCCTGTTCAAGATGCCACTCCAATCTGCCTCCAAAATGTGTTGC